TCCTCGTCTGCATGTGCTCTCTTTGAAATAGGAATCGTTGCCACATTTCTTGTTAACATCTTTAATTTATCGCTGTCTCGTTTGTATTTGGACAGTTTGGAGAAAGCCTCACCAAACCTGACTAGCCAGGCATTTGCGATCACAGGAACTTGAAGACACTTGTACAAACGCGGATGGGTGACATGAATGGAGATGGCTCCAGATTGGCGATGTAGTATTTGGTTTCCCAACAAGGTCCATCGCCCAACAAAAAATTAATTTGCTAAATGCATAAACTGTATTTTCCTGCGCTCAAACCTGCCAATCTAAAGGAAACGCTGTATATGGCGTTTGAGGTAATTTGTGAATTACCATAGACTTATAGTCTAAATAAAACATTTTGCAACTATTACTGTTATTACACTTGTATACAAAACTTCGTATTATGCTTGTTATAGAGTGCGTGACGTCACGTGCACTACCGCCGGTTGTCATGGCGACCGTCACAGCCCTACTGCCCAGAATGTAGTAGAATGTAACAGATTTTTATTGGTCTTTATGTAAAGTCATTGCTTCATTTTTAACCATTTATTGCTATTTAATATGCTTTCAAAGTGAAGAAAATATATTTTTACCCATAGACAGTATCATGCAGTAGAAGACGACATTCTTTGTAAAACTAACACATTCAAAATGATGCTTAATTTTAATACAGGTTATTACCAAGCTGCATAACCTGATGCCTCTGGAGATTCTGATGCCAGACACTGCTAGTGTGAGAGGACAAGGAACCAAACTCTACACCCTCATCACAGAGACTTTCCCGGTATCATACATGTTTACTGCATCTATCCTGGCTATAAATCAGGGCTGGGTGACTTACAATTTACAGGCTGTAAATTAAAACTATTGTTAGAGATTATGCACACACCTTCATCTGATTTAATTCAGAATTACAGCTGCTTCTTTACACTGAGTGCAGAATATTTGCTTTTGCTATGTGTGCAGTCAGTCACATTCACTGCCGTTCAGAGGAAGTACTTCAATGAGAAGAAGGGCCTGGAGTACATACAGCAGCTCTGTGTCCCTGAGTTCAGCACTGTCCTAATGGAGGTGCAAACCAAGTAAGTAATGGATTCCCAGGGTTCTTTTTCAAGTTTTTGTTTTAATTCCAGGATTCTGGATGTACATAAGTCACATTATTAGTAGTAGTATAGGAACTCCTCCTACATGTCCTCATAAAAATTCTCAAAATAAACATGATCTCAGAGGTGACCTTTCATTGTGTCAGTGTGAATTATTTGCCAGTTTCAATTCTGTTTCAGATGAGTGATATGAATGTGTTTTTATAAATGCAATAATGTGTAATAACTCTGTATGATAAATTTGATTAAACAATATCAAATGAAACATCTCTGTCTGTAGATACTACTGCCTGGCTTCTGCATCTGCCCTACTAAAATACTTTGAGTTTGTTCAGAACTCAATATATGCTCCTAAGTCACTGAAAGTGATCTTCACCGGCAGTGAGCAGACAGCCATGATTGATGCAATATCAGCCAGCAACTTGGAGCTAGTAGTGAACCACAGAGATCACAGGTTAGAGGACATTATGCAGTTTTATGTTGACCTGCATATATTTATGTTACAGAATTCGAACTGAAAGTACCACAAAGATTTCGAACACCTGTCATCCACAAAGATCTACATATCTCCTATCCCAAGCTTAGCATTGTTTCACACACTTTATCATATTTAAGTAAAAAAGCACACAGATTTCTATTGCATTAGAGGGGACATATAGAGGTGCACAGAAAGCTGTGCCTTTGTAATATGTTGTAATTATGAACTATGTTGATTATACTCATAATTTGTCTGAGTGTCTGAATGTCAGTAACCATATGCCGTTGTATGCAGAAGTAAAAACACTCTGTTTGGGGTCTTGAACTACACTAAGACTGCTGGTGGGGAGCGACGGTTACGCTCTAATATTCTTGAGCCCCTGCTGGATGTGGTCACTATCAACTCACGCCTGGACACCATACAGGTGATTACCTGTTATCTGTCTGCCTTTTTTCATTCTGTTGTCTTGTCATTAATCAAATAATCTTCTCTTTGATCCATTTCCAGGAGCTGCTGCAAAATGAGGAGCTCTTCTTTGGTCTGAAGAATGGTAATAACACTACATTTCATATGTCTCAGTTAGGGAATATTGTTCCAGGATCTTTTTCTCCTCGTTTCACCCTTTTGTTTGAGGCTCTTTTGCTTGTGATTATATGTTTTGTTTTTTTTAGGTCTGTACTGCACCACATGCATAAGCAGTTTACTAAAGTTGTGATTTCACACTGAAGGTGTTACTGGGTAACAGTTCCTCTATATAGTAAAAAGTTATTTCTAGGTTACTGTATTGAGAATTTGCATTTGTAACAGCCATTGTTATCAGGAGATATTATTGCAAACTTAGTGAAATATAATTTACATGAGGAGGAATGCCACATTTACTTTGTTATTAGCCTAATTACACAGATTACACAGACTGTCAATTTATTTTTTTCAATTATTTGTGAGTACTGAGTTGAATACAATAACAAATAACAAAATTCACAAAAAACAGGTTACCAAACTTTACAGCGAATACTGTAAACTGTCCATATGGGTGCTAAAAAATATGCACAGCTTACTGCTGTTTATGTATGAAACAGGCCTTACTTGTTATTGAGTAATTTGTTGGTGATTTCAAAAGCTCTTAAGCTCCTGAATCACACCTACATGGAACTGCACACACAATTATAAAATATTAATATTAACCAGATGCCTAAATGTTTGGCTGGCACCACACCATGGCGGGACTTTATTTTAAATTTTTTATACTTTATTTTTTGACAGATTTTGTTTTAGAACACACAAACAGAAAACAGAAACCAAAATATCTACCACAAGACACTCGGGTTCACAGAGGAAAAAATTAATAATTTAATAATTTTTAAATTATAATTTAAAAATAATTAAAAAAAAAAAAATAAATAAATAGAAAAGAAAAAAAAAAAAAATTAACGAC